TTTTGTTGGTTACCTCCAGGGTCAACCACAACTCATAGACTTCTCTCTCGTTGGCAATTTTTTGAATATAAGCCCGAGCAGAATTATTTGTGGACATTTTGTGGGTTGGTTGCAGCATAGATCACATCAATCACTCCTGCTGGAGTGTTATGGTCCCCTTTTGGCTCGGTCCTCCCTCCATCGAATTTTTGTTTACCTTCTATGAACTCGGTGAGATGTCCAACCTGGACCAGCTCCTCCAAATGCTACTTTAGAGATCAGCAGTTCTCAGTCATATANTAAAAGAGTGACGAACTCAGTTTTCTGTTCGAGACTAAGAACAGTCCCTAACAAGAAGTATTTTTCGTGATCCCCAACCTTGTCTAAAGGCACTTTAGTCAAGTCTTCAATTGTTCAGTCCGTAACTTCCTTTTCGGCGCCTAAAGGTACTTTAGGGCCTTCTTCGACAGCTTGGTCAGTTGGTTTAACCAAGCTGTAAAAAGTTAATTGTTATTTTGCCTCCTCGGACATTGAGCTCTTCTCGCGAGCTTCAATCCCTCCTTTGGGTTTGACTGAGACTAACAAACAAGTTCTAACACTGACTTGGTCTCCTAAGATATTTACTACTCCTTTAGCTGAAGGGAATCTCAGTAGTTGATGGTACGTTGAGGATACCGCCTTCATTGTGTGTAGCCAGGACCGCCCCATTATCGCGTTATATGCCGAGACTGTATCCACTATTAGAAATTCAGTCATGACACAAACTGGTCCTGTCTTTACAGGCAATGTGATCTTCCCCCTGGGAAGGACTATTTTGCCACTAAAGCCAATAAGTGGAGTATTTGAAGGCTTAAGATCTTCCTTCTTAAGACCAAGTTTCTCAAATAGATCCGAATACATGATTTCTGATAAACTGCCTAGATCAATCAACACCTTTTTTACATCAAAATTCGCAATCCGAAACGTAACGACTAGTGCGTCATTATGCAGTTGGTAAACTCCAACCAAGTCCTACTCGGTGAAACAAATTGCTTCGGCTGACTCTTCTTCTATCTTGATCCTTTTGTTGGTTACCTCCAGGGTCAACCACAACTCATAGACTTCTCTCTCGTTGGCAATTTTTTGAATATAAGCCCGAGCAGAATTATTTGTGGACATTTTGTGGGTTGGTTGCAGCATAGATCACATCAATCACTCCTGCTGGAGTGTTATGGTCCCCTTTTGGCTCGGTCCTCCCTCCATCGAATTTTTGTTTACCTTCTATGAACTCGGTGAGATGTCCAACCTGGACCAGCTCCTCCAAATGCTACTTTAGAGATCAGCAGTTCTCAGTCATATAGCCCACATCCCTGTGATATGAACACCTGAAGTTTGGATTCCTTTTAGAAGGATCTCCTATTAACTTGTTCGGCCATTTAAAAAATGACTTTGTCTTGATCTAGCTTAGTAGCTTGTATATGTGTTCCTTGAATAATGTATTTACCCCCAGAAATGGAGACTTTTGAGGATATTCATCCTTCTCATTCTTCCTTCCTCCCTTTCTGTTTGGCTCGGTCTGCTTGTCCCTGTCGAACTGCCTCTTGCTAGGATGTTCTTTAACTCCGTCCCTGGATAAGTCGTCATCAACTTTGACAAACTTTTCAATTCTTGACATCTGCTCTTCCAGATCCGTGGCTGGCCTTCTTGTGAGTGACTGATATAGGGGGTTTTCCTTCGGCAACCCGATCTTGAAGGATGTAACATCAATTTATGGATTGCATCCTTCGACCTCATTCATAGTTTCTCAATAACGATGAGCGTACTCTCGCAGACTTTCATTATTTTTCTTCTTTAGCATCAGTAGTGCCCCAACATCCGTCGACTGTTTACTGCTCGTTATGAATCGAGCTGTGAACTGTTCGACTAACTAAGACCACCCGTCGATCGTTCCCTTCGGTAGGCTGTCAAACCACTTCATGGATGACTCCCCAAGACTACTAGGGAAGATAGTGCAGAGCAAGGCTTCATTTTGTCGATGAACGGTCATCAGTTGTCTGTAATGTCTTATGTGTGAGGCTGGGTTGGTCTTCCCGTAATATAGTTTAAAGTTCGGGACGGTGAATTTACTCGAAATTTGTCCCTTTTCGATCCAAACTGTAAATGAAGATGACTTCAAACTGTCTCCATATTCTCCTGTTGCTCTTCTGGCTAGGACCCTAGCCGACCTCTGTTCTGGTCTTCTCAGACGGTTGTTGAGTTCCTCGGTAATGTATTGTTTCCATGCAACCTCCTCTTGAACCCGAGGTTTCTTCTGTTACTGACGATTTTTATTATTACTTCTGATTATGTCGGGCTTCCTCTCAAGACTTTCCCAACGGTTCTCTCTCACACGTTTCTCTTTCTTGGTCATCTCTTTTATCCTGGTTTTCAGCTCTTCATTTTCTTTGATCAGATCTTTTTCCCTGGCATAAGATTTCTTGAATAACTTGTCATGAGCATCAACTCTATCCTGCAGGAATTGAACCAACTTTACTAGGAAGTGGTTTTCTCCCTCGGCATGGAGGGATTCATCACGATCTTCAATTTGATGGTTCAGATTCTTCAAGGCCTTGAAACTGGCAAAGGACATTTCGTTGCCTTCGTGGGATCTAGATGGGCTTTTTCTTGCGTGCAACAGAGCGTTGCTATCAGGAGGGAGGGATGTAGGATTAGAGTCTCCCAAGACAAAACTGCCTCTAGGTAATCCAATTGCGCTTTTGAGTTTCGACATTGTAGCTTTTTGTTGCGAAAGATGAAAATTTTCCCATAGACAGCGCCAAATGTAGGAGGCAAAAAATTGAGAATACCTCCTATAGGAATTGAAAAATTGATGTGTTTCTGAACTCGATCTCCCAGTCTTCCCTTACCTACAAAACGAACAAATTGCACAAGATCGAAGTATTTCGATTGAAAGCACTCCGATGTTTAAATCAGTAAAGATACTGGAACAAATGGATGAAGACCAAGAGAGTTCAGCGTACCTTTCACCTTGGTCTATTCTGTTTTTATAGATCCTTGTCCTCTTAGGGTTTCCATAAATTTTGATTCAAAGTGACACACACCTTCCTTCAATTCAGTCATTCAGTTTGGGAAGTTGTTGATATTTCTCTAACAATTTCTTCTGATATCTATAATTTCGTTGATTTGTTTATCTAATTGCCTAAGTTATATGCGAATCTTTATCTTTCCATCTATTGTTTTGAACAGTTCGGATATAGCGAATGCCGAGCAGACTCGATGTTTGCCGAACAGTTTTAGGAATCTAGCTTGGCACAAACCGATCTCTTCTATTGTCTTCCCGAACACTTTAATGAACTCGACTTGGTATAAGTCGAGCTCTTTCCATGCTTAGCTGAATAGATTGATGAGTTCGATCATAAAGAGAATCGAACTTTTTCTTTGATTGCCGAACCTTTAATCAACTCGGCTCGGTTAAAAGGCTTAATAAAGGATTCTTCATCACGTGTCTTATCTTGTCAATACCACGTGAGCACATTTAATGTCATATCACGTGTAATCATAAACTTTAACCCTTTCAAATAAGTTTTATGTTATTCTGCGTGTTTCTTGTATATTTAAAAAAATAAATGAGCAAAAAATGAATCTAAATTAAAAAAAAAGTCTCAAATTTAAGTTTAAAAATAATTATAATTTATGAAAATTAGGTGATAAATAATAAATCAGTCAATTAAATTTGATTAAAATAAATTAAAAATAGTGTGAGGCGATAACTTACATTTTTCAATATTTACATAAACATATGTAAGATTGAAAAAATAAAAGTAATATATAAATGATAATTCGATTGTATTGTGTCAAAATTTATTTAATATATGTCCGTCCTACTTATAATCATATATAATTTAACAAGTTTGTGTCGTATTTTGTTGAAGTTATGTCGACTTGCTGATTTGAGAGGTTAAATAATTTCACCACTTTATCATCCAATCTACAAAGACTAAATTCAAACACATCCAATCTACAAAGACTAAATTCAAACTCATTAATGTTGTTTTAATCTTTTAGTTGTTCTTAGACTATACCTAAAATTACAAAACTAGTTAAAATTAGGAACCAAAGTTAATTTAATTGAATCTTAAAAAATAATTTTGGGGGGCCCAAATATTACTATTTATTTAGGTGCCCTAGATGTGACTTTAGTGGCTTATGTCTAGGGCCGGCCATGCCTCCACTTTTGTTGAACACTATCTCATCTAAAAGTTTAAGTTGTTAGAGAAAAATGTAATAAAAATATTTATCTAATACTTCCCCTCATGTAAGACCTCTCTTTATGTGGTACATCCATGCAAGCAACTTTTTTTATTTTTTTGGTAGGGAGGAGGCTTGAGGAGATTCGAACTCAAGATCTTTCGAACTCAAGATCTTTAGGCTCTGATATCATGTTGAATACTATCTCATCTAAAAACTTAAGCTCTTAGAAAGGAATATAACATAAATGTTCATCTAATAACTTTCAATCCCTGATCCAACTATCAGGTTCATTCATGTCTCTAACTAGGGGGATTTCCCATGTTTTCTATCGTCCAGATGATAATTTCCTCGTGCAAAATTTAGGAGGCGGCCAGTTTGCCATGCCCAACCTAACTCAAATGACATTATGCTAGTGCATTGTCCCATTGGACCCAGATCCATGGTTCAAATTTGTGTTATTAACCATCAACTCGGTGAGCTCTAAAAATCATTGGCCACAGCCTTGTGGAACTTTACTAGATGATGACATGCATGGAATGCTCGATAGAAGAATAAGTTGAACATGATGAAGATTTTGACTAAAATACAATTATTTGATGATTTAGGATTGCCTCAAAATTATATTCGACAACTTGACCTAGTCGCGTGAGACTTGTGATTTAAATAAGATGTGGAGTGGTATTGGATCGGAAGGTGTCGAGTCGAATAAGACTCAGCCAAGTCATATCGGAGATGGTCGATACTTTGAACCATGCCCAAATCTGGCCTAGAAAAACTGTTTCACAAAGGGTCTAGGGTTTAGGAGGCATAAGAATTTGCCCCCTTCTCCAACTTGCACATTCTGCCACAATAAAATTGAAGAAAGAGCACCTAATCGGCTACCCCATCGTAACTATACATATTAGGAACTAGATGTCAACACAAGAAATTAAGGAAAAATCAGAGTATCATAACTTCTACCTAAAAGAATACAAATATAGAGTTCTATAGATTACACTAAATTTCATGTCCATGGCATACTGGATGCAGACATTAATACTTTCCATATGGAGGCGGCCAGAGCCCCAGAAGTTACTCAGCACTTACCTTGGAGTCGCAATGTGAATGCCTGCAAAGCAAGAAGAACTTCTTTCAACTTATCCTTAGTTTCAGCATCAGTCAAGTTGCCATCACTATCAAACTTCAAAGGAGGTTGGAATGCGTTGAGGAAAAATTCAGGCTTATTAATGAAATGAAGGTCAACGTAAACTCCAATCTGGCGGAGATGATACTGTGATCGTCCACCACCAAAACCTCCTCCCGCACTGACGATAGCAGCAGCTTTGTCAGCCCAGACATTTGTTGGTCTAGATGCCCAATCAATTGCATTCTTTAAAGGGCCTATTATGATGGCAAAGAAATAGTGGTTAAACTTGAACGATGAGCAATGGAAACAACACGCACCACTGCAGTATATCTTGACAATTGAAGCATTTTTATACATTAAGCCTCTAACTAATTCTAAGTGTTAACTACTGAAATAAATTCCAACCGATCTGTAAATCACTTGATGGCTTTGTGAGCAACTTAACAGATCCAACAACTGCAACTATGTTGGATGAAATACAGTTTAGCAATGTAGTTGATAACAAATAGGAAAGATCAGGGATGCAACAGCCACCAGCTACCACACAATCAATCATTTTATGGAGATTGTCGAACAAGAAAAACCAAAAATAATTTATTCAGATACATTAACATAATTTCTAAATATGTCATGATCTAATATATAGACATAAATATGTCTGATAACATTACCAATGCGGAAACTGCTTAAAGATTTTTTGAAGCCAACAAAATCTCTAAATATACAATTACCGTAGCACAGAAAAGAGCAGAAAGCAACTTCTGATGTAAGTAGCAATTTCAAACTTTGACATTTATATCTGGCAGTTAATTAGAAGATCATAGCCACCATTTACATTATCTAAGGCCTAACTTTTGAGAATCTTAAGCTGCTACATGGGTAAAAGCACAGGTAATCACAATAAGCCTCCCCAAATAGGTTCTACTTAGAGATTTCTGATTATGTTTACTCACCTCACTCCAAGCAATGGTTTGGGCAGGTTGAAATGCTTAATCCAGAATTTAGGAAACAACTTACAAAATCAGAACCTGGATCTGCAACAAATCAGAAGCTCCTTTTGCTTTCCCTACATATTTTCCCTTTAGAATTGTCTTGAATGTAACACAGATCTCATATTAGGTACAATTGTCTGGTGCTACTTACAAGACTGAGGTTTTTTTTTTTACAGGGTTTGTCCAGGCTTGCGCTGATTACCCTTAGCAACCGTGGCTTGATAATGTCTAGAGTATGTCCCAAATGGACAAAGTTGGCTAGCTCTTAGAGGGTGTGAGAATCGATTGAATCTCAGACTTTTGGATTACCAAAAAACAGGCCCAATCAGTTGACCACCCCAAGGGTTTACAAGACTGAGTTTATGGGTTGGAATCATGGCAACCAATTTACCCAATAGTGGCAAAATCCATCCCTCCTATCCAACACCCCCAATTAATGGAACCAAACATACCCTATAATCCTGTAAGATTTATCAACTACCTACAAGGATTACTTGAGATATTAGTATAATATGACAAGGAGTTCTTAGTACCAGTTGAAATTTCAAATCATTTATCCTTCACATCGTGTATGCCTTTGAGAAGCCTCCACAGTCCTCACAGAATCACACACACACACATGTATGTACAAATCTTCACATTGAAGTCGACAATTATAGTACCAGAGACTGAATAATTGTACTCGGGCGAAGCGAAGAGGATGCTGTCGGCGGCANGGAGATTGTCGAACAAGAAAAACCAAAAATAATTTATTCAGATACATTAACATAATTTCTAAATATGTCATGATCTAATATATAGACATAAATATGTCTGATAACATTACCAATGCGGAAACTGCTTAAAGATTTTTTGAAGCCAACAAAATCTCTAAATATACAATTACCGTAGCACAGAAAAGAGCAGAAAGCAACTTCTGATGTAAGTAGCAATTTCAAACTTTGACATTTATATCTGGCAGTTAATTAGAAGATCATAGCCACCATTTACATTATCTAAGGCCTAACTTTTGAGAATCTTAAGCTGCTACATGGGTAAAAGCACAGGTAATCACAATAAGCCTCCCCAAATAGGTTCTACTTAGAGATTTCTGATTATGTTTACTCACCTCACTCCAAGCAATGGTTTGGGCAGGTTGAAATGCTTAATCCAGAATTTAGGAAACAACTTACAAAATCAGAACCTGGATCTGCAACAAATCAGAAGCTCCTTTTGCTTTCCCTACATATTTTCCCTTTAGAATTGTCTTGAATGTAACACAGATCTCATATTAGGTACAATTGTCTGGTGCTACTTACAAGACTGAGGTTTTTTTTTTTACAGGGTTTGTCCAGGCTTGCGCTGATTACCCTTAGCAACCGTGGCTTGATAATGTCTAGAGTATGTCCCAAATGGACAAAGTTGGCTAGCTCTTAGAGGGTGTGAGAATCGATTGAATCTCAGACTTTTGGATTACCAAAAAACAGGCCCAATCAGTTGACCACCCCAAGGGTTTACAAGACTGAGTTTATGGGTTGGAATCATGGCAACCAATTTACCCAATAGTGGCAAAATCCATCCCTCCTATCCAACACCCCCAATTAATGGAACCAAACATACCCTATAATCCTGTAAGATTTATCAACTACCTACAAGGATTACTTGAGATATTAGTATAATATGACAAGGAGTTCTTAGTACCAGTTGAAATTTCAAATCATTTATCCTTCACATCGTGTATGCCTTTGAGAAGCCTCCACAGTCCTCACAGAATCACACACACACACATGTATGTACAAATCTTCACATTGAAGTCGACAATTATAGTACCAGAGACTGAATAATTGTACTCGGGCGAAGCGAAGAGGATGCTGTCGGCGGCAGCGATCTTCTGACGGAAAGCCTCGACGACCGGAGGGTAAGTTCCGTCGACCTCGAGATCCGTGTTTACAAATGGCAGTGGCGATATGTCGATGTACTCTATCTGCATACCGTTGATCGATTCCTTGCTTATCTGTATAGCTAAAACATTCACCAAAACCACCAATTCCTTATTCAACTCAGTAATTCTAGATAGAGAGAGAGAGGGAGAGAAGTACCTGAACGGAGGAGGCCGCGATTGTAGGAACCTTTGCGGAGAGAACCACAGAGAGCTGCGACTTGGATCACTGGTGTCGCTGCAGCTGCTACAGCTGCCATTTTCCGTTTCTCTCTCTTAGTCAAAGGTTCACCCACTTGTTGCTTGTTGCTTGGTTCACCCACTGCTACTGCCGCCGCCGCCGCCGCCGCGGGGTCACAATCTCAAATTTTGTAGTGGACCAATCCATCCGAATTCTAGATTACAGAAGAGCCACGTAACTTTGTTACAATAAAAGTGGAGTGGGGCCAATTATATGGTTACTACCGGATCGGCCATATTTTGCATTAATGGAATGGGTCCTATATCACATGGGTGTATTATAATAAGACACTTAATATATTTTTTCAATACAAAGTTGTCAGCTTTTTTGATGGACCAATTAGAGTTCAGCACAATTTTCAAAACTCGTCAAAATACGTATCTCAAGAAAATATCAATTCAAAGAACATAACTTTTAAACAGTAAGTAACACTATAGTTCCTCTGTAAAGATGAGTGAAAGACCCAAAAGGAGGGAGGTCTCAAGTCAGAACACCTTGGCTCTATACTTCACACATACACCTGTATTATTTTTTCTAGTTTATGCACTCGTCTATACAAATATTGATCGCAATACTGATTTAGGCATTGAAGGGACCTCTCTTGGCTTAATGCCGGGGGTTCCTCTAACATTTTTTTGTTTTGCAACTCATGAACTGGGTGATATTCGAAAATTGGGGGCGCATCTTCAACATTTTCAGTGATTGTGTGAATTTTAGCCCGTACAATTTGGTGTCGTCTGTGGGATCAATAATCCTACTTTTAAAATAAAAGTGGGTTCAAGGATCCCGCTTTAACATTGTTGCTTTAAAAATTATATTGAGAACCTTTATAGGTTCTATCAACTCATAGGTATTGATTGACATNGAGAGAGAGGGAGAGAAGTACCTGAACGGAGGAGGCCGCGATTGTAGGAACCTTTGCGGAGAGAACCACAGAGAGCTGCGACTTGGATCACTGGTGTCGCTGCAGCTGCTACAGCTGCCATTTTCCGTTTCTCTCTCTTAGTCAAAGGTTCACCCACTTGTTGCTTGTTGCTTGGTTCACCCACTGCTACTGCCGCCGCCGCCGCCGCCGCGGGGTCACAATCTCAAATTTTGTAGTGGACCAATCCATCCGAATTCTAGATTACAGAAGAGCCACGTAACTTTGTTACAATAAAAGTGGAGTGGGGCCAATTATATGGTTACTACCGGATCGGCCATATTTTGCATTAATGGAATGGGTCCTATATCACATGGGTGTATTATAATAAGACACTTAATATATTTTTTCAATACAAAGTTGTCAGCTTTTTTGATGGACCAATTAGAGTTCAGCACAATTTTCAAAACTCGTCAAAATACGTATCTCAAGAAAATATCAATTCAAAGAACATAACTTTTAAACAGTAAGTAACACTATAGTTCCTCTGTAAAGATGAGTGAAAGACCCAAAAGGAGGGAGGTCTCAAGTCAGAACACCTTGGCTCTATACTTCACACATACACCTGTATTATTTTTTCTAGTTTATGCACTCGTCTATACAAATATTGATCGCAATACTGATTTAGGCATTGAAGGGACCTCTCTTGGCTTAATGCCGGGGGTTCCTCTAACATTTTTTTGTTTTGCAACTCATGAACTGGGTGATATTCGAAAATTGGGGGCGCATCTTCAACATTTTCAGTGATTGTGTGAATTTTAGCCCGTACAATTTGGTGTCGTCTGTGGGATCAATAATCCTACTTTTAAAATAAAAGTGGGTTCAAGGATCCCGCTTTAACATTGTTGCTTTAAAAATTATATTGAGAACCTTTATAGGTTCTATCAACTCATAGGTATTGATTGACATAGTAAATTATCCATTTTACCCTCACACCATAATTCCTACTCTCTCTCTCTCTCTCTCACGCTTAAACACACACACTGACACACAGTCACACACATAATGGGAGAAGAATCCAACCACTATGAATATGGATTTCAAGGTTACTTATGGAGCCAAAAATCAATTAAAAGGTTCTGTGTTGATTATGTAAGATTAATTTTATTTGGTTCAATAAATTATTTTTTGTGATTTGTGAATGAGTTTGTGAAGGAGATGCTTGAGTTGATTTTGTGACATTATATTTTTTGTTCAAACAAATGATTTTTGGTGATTTGTGAATGGGCTTTATAACAAATCACGACTTGTTGCTGAGCCCCGTAATAAACAGTTCTCTCTTTCTCTATAGAAGCTTAGCTTAGCTTAGCCATGGAAGAAAAAGATTTTTTTTTTGGTAAATCATGGAAGAAGAAGATGTGAAAAAGAGACCCAACAAGTCTTGAAAGTATTAGAAGCTTTAAAACAAGTTTCACACAAGTTCTCAACCGCGTGAAGTGGTTTTACAGGTGTGGCTGTGGTGATTGTGATGGAGTTCCAGTTGGATACTAGTCTGACATTTTTTCTTGCCTAGAAAGCGGATTTACTAATAACGATTTCTAACGATATTAGAAATATATTTTATTAAAAGTGGGGTTGTTGATTTCATTTTTATTAGAAAAATGAGATTATTGATTCCATTTTTAAAAAGTATTATAGTTTGGTAAATAAGTTTAAAAATGCCATAGATCGGTGAATTTGTTTAAAAATGACTGTACATTGGTAATAAATTCTTGTTTTGTCTTAGAAGAAATTTCAAGTCTTGTATGATCACATCAATAGGCTATTATGCTTTGTAGTTACAGACCATTTCTGCATGGATGATCATTTATGAGTCTCCTTCGGTAGTTACATAGCTCCAATGCTCTTCATTAGCCTATATTGCTGCCAATGCTTCAACTTCCATTGGATCAACTTCTAGTCTTGTTGCAATCCTCGCCCCTATTACTGTTCCTTTTGAATCCCTAGCTATTGCAGCTATGCATGATCTACTTTTTCCAATTGTTGCATCCACATTAATTTTAATTCCTTCTTCCTCTGGGGGTTTTCATTTATGGACATGGTTTTGAATCTCCTTGCATGAAGGTAATGTGGGATTGGCATTTGGCAGCTTTACCTACTTGAAATCATTGTAAGCTTGCATAATTTCCTATTTTATAAAATAAGGAATGACTCTTTCCTTCTTGAATTTGACCTTGTTTCTCCATTTCCAAATGATGGTAGCAAGGATAGCTGAAAATAGAATGATGCATGGTTTAGTGTTGGGTAGCCAGCCAAAAAATAAAGTTGGATTTAGAATATTGTGCAGCAATTCCTGAATGGTGAAATGACAGAACGAGTCAGTTCGTATGCCCTAGGTGGTGAACCAGATCATTCTTGCAAGGAGCAGAGGAAGAAAATATGCTTAGCCATTTCTGGACTTGTTTGACAGAGTGGGCATAGAATATCTGCCATAAGGATCCTTGATGCCAAAAGAACTTCTATGAAAATGCTTTCTGTTGCCATTATCCAAAGAATCATTTTTGTGCTTTCATGTATTTGTCCTTTCCAAAGCTTGATCCAGTCAATTTCCTGCAGGTGGTAACCCACATAGTCTTGATCATTTATGAGCGTCTGGTAGGCATTTTTTGGATTGGAAATCTCCCATGGTTTTAGGGAATCCGTATCATTGTGTCCTCTCTTGGAAAGGAAGGAATTTTATTCTTAATATAACTTTGATTGTTTAAGGATCAAAGCAGGTGGATATCAAGTTTAGATTTCAAGCCTTGAATTCAATCAATTTTGCTACTTGTGTTGGCACAACATCTAGATCATGAGCAAGTTGAACACAAAAGCCAGGAATGAAGGGCAACTAAGAGTATGTCCAAATATTTATTTTTGTGTCTGTACCAACTAGGTAACAAGCTCCTTGCTCCACTATAGATTTGCACAGGAGGATATGTTTCCATATTGGTGAGTCATGAAGTTGTTGTTGAACAAACTGGAAGGAGTTTCTTGAACAATATATCTTGTTAAATAGTTGTGTCCAAAGTTTGGGGTTGTTGGAAGTAAGTTGTCATCCTAGCTTTGCCATGAGGGATTTGTTGATGTCCATGGTCTTTCTGAACCCTCATCCACCCACACTCTTTGGCTTGCACATATAATCCCAGGATTTGATTGCCATGGCTTTGTGATCTTCTACGTGTCCCCTAGTAGAAACTTCTTATTTTGCTGTCAAATTTGTTGCAAATGGTGATTAACAAGAGAAAAGGCTGCATAGTGTATACATGCATTGAAAGTGTTGTATACTTTATCAGTGTGGCTCTACTTGCATATGAAATTACTTTTGCTTTCTAGCCTTGGAGGTTTGAATTTAGGTTTTCTAGTATAGGCTGAAAGGCTCTTGTTCTAGCCCTACTGATGAATAGTGGAAGTCCTAGGTATGTATTAGTTGTGGATCCCTTCTTTAGGCTAAGAAAACTTTTGACTTCTTGAACAACTAATCTTTGGACATTCTTACAGAAGTAGATTTGGATTTCTCCTTATTGATGAGCTAACCTAACTGGCTCTCATATTTTGTTTCAGCTATTGTTTCTGCCTCTTGAGCATCTACCCTGCCAAATATCAGTAGATCATCGATGAACATAAGGTGTGTTAAGGGCTCATAGTTCCTGGTCATTGTTTCCCTGAGAATCAATTTATAAAGAACATTAGCACATGTGATGAATAGAAAAGGGAGATAGAATCACCTTGTCTAAAGCCACATTTTGGATTAATCCTACTTACAGGACCACCATTGATCAGGACTGAGAGGGATGTGGTGGTTAGGCATTGTTTAATCCAACACACAAATTGTTTTGGGAAACCCAAAAGATGTAGGATATGTAAGATAAAGGGTCATTCTACTCTATCAAAAGCTTAGCCATGTCCACTTTTAATAGCAAGAGTGCCCCCTTTATCTTTTTTTTCCTTTTTACTATATTTTATGCTATATTTCTACTAGGTACAAATGCAGATTGATATGGAGAAATGAAACTGGTCTAAACATGGTCTAAGTTTGTTAGCTAGGATTTTTTAGAACAATTTGTATGCAACATTGCACAAACTGATTGGTCTATAGTCCTCGACTATGTAAGATTTTGGAGAATTGGGGATGAGGCATATATGGGTTTTATTGAGTTTAGTAAGTAAATGTCCCTTGACAAAAAAGCATCTTACCATGTTAATTAGGTCATTTCCTATACTATGCCAATAAGTATTGTAGAAGATGGCTGACATGTCATCTGGGTCTGGACCTTTAAAGGAGGGCTTTGCAAAAAGGGTGGCGTTTATTTCTTCTGGCGAGGGGATTACACATAGTTGTGTCTGTTGGTCATAACTGAGAATTGGGGTTATCAAATCTTCAAGGTCAAGGGGAAAAATTGGGTTAGATGTGGTAAATAAATGCTGAAAGTAAGAAATTGGTTACCAATCTGCTCTCTTTCGATTGACCATGAACCATCCTCGAGCTTGAGACACTCAATAAAATTTCTTTTACCTCTGAAAATGGTTGTGGTGTGGAAGAACTTTGTATTGGTGTCACCCTCTTTCATCCATTGTACCATAGATCTCTGCCTCCATACCATTTCCTCCCTCTTCAAATGTTCAGATAGTTCAAACTTTAGGACTTTTTCCTCAAAGATGTTATTTGGTGTAGGCTCTGACTGCTGCAAATGATTAATTTGAGCACAGACAGACTTCGCCTTTTGTATGCAATTCCCAAATGGAATTTGTTCCATTCTTTCAATGCCTCCTTGGATGATTGAAGTTTTCTATAGAATCTGTAAGCTAAGGATACAGTGGTTTTGGTGGTTCATGAGCTTTTTATAACATGATGACTAGTTAGGTCATAGCTTCAAATTTAAAGGGTTTAGAAAAGGAAGTATTTTCTCCTGAGGTATTCATTAGCAATGGGGAATGACTTGAGCATATGGCAGGAAGGTGATTGATTGTAGCTCTTGGGAATGGTAATATTTGCTTTATATTGGCCAGACCATCTCGTTTATTGGACTAGGTGAATGGGTTCCCAGAATACCCCAAGTCTACTAGCCCTTGCTCATTGATGAAATCTCCAAACCCCCTCTTGATGGAGTGGCAAAAGTTCTGCCTCCCTTCTCTTCAACTTAGGAACTAATGTTATTGAAATCACTAATAAACATTGTTGGACCTGTACATTCCTCATTGACTTGGTTCATGGCATCCCATAGCTATCCTCGTAGAATTCTTTTGGTAGGAATGTATATGCAATTAAAAAGCCACATGGGTTGGGTAGGTGATGAAAAAACCAATGCAAAAATTAGTTATGAATTGGATGTGATGATTTTGATGTCTAGTCCACTTTTCTGGCATATAGATATCCCTCCAGCTAATCCTCTTGCTAGCTGAATTTCTTGCTGATGGTATCCTAGTTGGCTCAAAAAAAATTTGGTTTTTTGGAGGGTGGTTTTTGTCTTAGAGAAGAATATGAAATCTGGGGGATACTCTCTTAATTGATCCCTTAAGTGACGAATTGTCAAGGCATGGGCTATTCCTCGACAATTCCATACATAGCCAATCATTGAGAGGTTGGTATAGGGTTAAGTTTTGGACATAGGGTGGGTCTAATGACAGGATCTAGTGCTATTTTTGGTTTTGTTGCTACCATCCTAGGAAGGTTTCTATTTATGAACTATTGAGGCTTTTTGCCAAATAGTTCATGTGCATAAAGTGGGGGACCATATTGTCTAAATGGAGGAGAAGAAAACAATAATATTTTTGAATATGGGTAGAGTTGGTGATGAAAATGAGGTGTAAGTAGAGGTGTGGTGAACTAAGTTAGGGTTATGATTGTAATTGATGTTGGGGGTGAAGTCGATAATGGGTTCGGGGCTGGGAGAGGGGGGAATTTTAGAAGGCGGACTTGCAGGGAGCTGATTTATGTGGTGGATCAAGGAGGTATCACCAGTAAAAGCATCTTAAACGCCCCCTCGCTACTTATTCCCTTTAGCTGTTTTGGCGAACAACCCTAAAAAATTCAGCTCCAACGCCCTAGCTATCCACCTCGCCAAAATCCAGGAAACCAAATCTGCTTGCCAGATCTTCAGAGGAGAAATTGCTCGCCAATTGCTGCTACTCCTTCCTACTGATCCTTCCTACTGTTACGAACCAGGTATTCATCTCCCCCTTGTCTTGCTCCTCTGCCTTGATCCTTCATGTTGATCCTTGCGAAGAAATTTAAGACTTTCTTGTGTTTTTGTTGTTTGTTTCTTGAATTTGGGTTTTGGGTTTTAATTACTTTGAGCAATAGATGGTTTCAAACATGTGAAGTGGTAAGGACATCAGATGGTTGAATTTGGGTTTTAGGTCCTGCTGATCCTTGTTGTTGTTGGGTTTTAATGATGTGCTAAAATTAGATATTTTCTATCTTTTGATTATATTATTGAAAAGTTTGATTATGTTTCTTTTCCTGTTTAATTATGTTTGATTATCTTTTTGTGCTCTAAGAAGTTTGATTTTGGTTTTTTTCCCTGTTTTTTTCCTTTTGTTGTGAAAGTCAGCTAAATTTAGTTGATCTAGTGGGTTAAAATAGAGAGCGTGGTTGGAGTGAATTTTAAAAAGTGACTATCTAAAGTAGAGAATTCAATATTTAAATATATTTTGAATAGCTATTTTGTTGAGTAGGGTTGGAGTTGCTCCAAAGAGAGGTAGATGAACTCTAATGACTTAAATCGATAACCAACCAGTCAATGGGTCATCACATTAAATTATCACTGGTCTCAACGCTATCAATCCAATGGCCATAATGAATTAAGTCCTCAAATTATACCCCTAAATTATGTCCCAATAGTATTAGTGTATTTATTTGGTGGCAAGGGAAAATTTTGATGCAATGAATCCAAGTACAAATTGGGTGGTATTTGAACAGTGTTGGTGGTTAGTGGCATGAGCCAGCGTTGGCTAGTGGCGCTGTTATCGCTATTGAAGATTTGAATCTATATTTGAACAATGGAGGTGGTTGGTGGCATGAGTCAGCAGTGGCTAGTGGCATGAGCCAACAGTGGCTAGTGACGTGGGTTGGCATTGACTGGTGGCGTGGGCTAATGGGGTTGGTCGTGCGTGAAGGCAATGTAGATGGTAGAGCAGTAGAAAGCCTGAGTAATGGGAAAGGAAACGGGAAGGGAATCATAATTTTATGGGTTTTAAGGGGGCTGGTACCTTTTTTAGAAATTATAGGGTAGAAAGTACCACTTTTAAAAATATAGGTCAAAAAGTACACAAGCCCCAACAAAACTCTAAAATACCCTCTTCAGTAGAATGAGAACCGATTCCTATATTTTTGCCTCCACAACTGAAACTTAAGAGCTCTCAATTGTTACACATAAATTCCTTAAATATCGTTGGAAACCCCCACTCTTACAAAAACTTTCATAAAACCTACTTTTGGATTTTCAAAACTTCCTAATGATTGTTACTGAAGAAGTGAAAATCACTGTTCATAAGTTATGGAGTTTTTGATTGTTTCACAGTGAATAAGTGGAAATCTTGTCGGAAAGTATACATCTTCCAATGTTTGGTGAGAAACCTTCCCTAAAACCTCATTTCTTTTCAAAACTTCATGTTGATCACTGAATAGGATGTGAAAATCCCTTTGAATAAGTGATGAATTTTTTGATGGGTTCACTATGAATAAGAGGAAATATCGGTATCAAATGGTGACGACCATACCGAAATTCATTGCTGAAGAAGAAGTTCGTTGAACTTTTTGGAAAAGAAGTTGATAACTCAAGAAAAATGTTGTTTCTTCCAGCGCTTTTATTTTATCTATTTTTTTTTCCTCAATTACCTTTCTACTTCTGGTACTTGGTACTACATGCATACTAAGTGTTCGATCATTTGCCAAAAAATAAAAAAAAACCAAAGAGGCCATAACATTGTGACATGCGTCATGTTAATGTATGCAATGTGACATTGACTTGCAGTAGTGTGACATTGGTTTGTAGCAGTGTGACATTTTCTAGTACTAGTGTGACATTATCTTGTAACATTGTGACATTATCATGCGAGACAATAAATCATCCTCCAAATCAGAAATCATCATCTTGATTATTACGATCATCCTCGTTTGAGTCATCATCATTGATATTTATATTCACATGAACATGATTGACGTTAAAAGACTGTAATGATTGAAAAAAAACATATGGACGACATACCTGATGCACTTCTTCCATTGCAACTAATTGGAATATGTTTGAAAACCCGGTTATGGAATGGAGTGACTGACAGAGGAAGAGGTGTGACTGATAGAGGAATAGGTATGAATTGTTTGAATAAACGGTTGGTCAATCACACATGAATAGATAATTTAAAATTCAAAAAAGATATAGCATAAAATTAGGAAACTGAATCTCTAATATAACTTTCATATTTATCTCTAATTAATAAAGGAAAAACGTAATTTACTAAGAGAAAAAATTACAATTCAGTAAAAGTGTACCTCTTCATCAAACATTTACATATAAAAGTACTTATACACATAAATTTTATATTGAGATACTTTTACACAAATAAATATGAAAGGGCGTACATTTTCACAATTTTGCCTAATTTTATCATTACTGGGTCAATCTTATGCACAAAAACACACAAACAAAAATTCAAATTTCCAATATAACCATAAATTTTTTCAATATAAAACAAAGCTATTCACGCCAAAATAAGATAAATAAAAGAAGACATTTTTAGTAATTCTAACTGATTAATCAATGGAGGAAAAAAATAGCGCCTGAAATTATTTTGGTCCGATAATGATAGTTCCTTGGGTGAAAGAATCAAGAATGTGCTTTGAAGTAAGGGTTCTTCTATTTTCTCTTGAAGGGCTAACTGGTTAGGAAATTTGGTGAGAGAAGAATGAATACTCAAGAAATTAGAATATATTATTTATTATTTTATTGTCTTTCCATTTACCAAAGAATTTTTTTTTTATGGAGTGAGTGGGAAAAGAACAACTTTTATTAATCTAATTAGGAAAGAAATGAAATAGAATGTTATTCTCTAATGATTGATTGGTCCACAAATCTTCCCTTGTACAGACGGTTATGTTATCAAAGGAGGGCCAAGTATCTTTGATATATAAGGGTGTGTTTGTTTTAAAGAGAACAATGGATGCAATTAGAGGTCTCTTTTTCCATCCTCTTTAACGTCATGGGTATGGAAGGCATAATTTAATGTTTTTATTAATCCTATATCATGTTTGGCTTGTGACTTTTGTAATGCATGTGAGTCCCGCATAAAAATAATGATTATATTTGATAAGTGACTTAAATACTTTTAGTTTGGTTAAGATTAAGATTATTAGACACTTGAAATACTAATATTGTAATTTACTTTTCTTGTGGTCCTATAACAAAAGTAAATAATTTAATTTATACAAATTGACTTTACTGCCCTTGTTTGCAATTTAAACATTAGAAATTAGAAGGGTCAATACTATAATTTATTAATCGAGTACCATTATTAGTTTTCTACCTTATTTTAATACAACCTCTTAGGTGGTATTAGATATACCCATGTAGATGAGTTTAGTGCCACTTTTCATACCGGATCAGTATTAAGATTTGAAAATTAATACCTTCTTAAAAATAGTTAACAAACAAAGTATTAATGGACTCTACGTATTATTTCCCCTAATCCCACCCCTTCATACCATTATTATATTCTAAACAAACACACCCTAAAACTCTTCAACAATCATTTTATGGAACCCTGGGTTATACACATGATTTTTTTTTTGTTGGGGGGGGGGGGGGGGGGGGGGGGGG